AACGGGAGTAGAGTCGTGACTGGGTTGAGTGCACTGCTCGTTCCGGGACACCCCATGATCGGAATTGCATTGACGGAATTGGGAAAGCTATTAGCTGTGGACGAGGTTCATCCCGCTGTCCATTCTGAGACGGGTGGGAGTAATTCAGCGAGCGCGAACAGCAGTGTATTTCCGCCTTCGGGACCGGCACGCGTCAAACAGGCGTATGAGATGCTCATGCGAGCGCGTGCATCGCTTCAGATTGGGTTTGGGACGCGCAACGAGGGGGGGAAGGTTGGGAAGCAGGTGAGGGAGAATTTGGTTAGGTTGGAGAAGGAGATAGAGGTGTGGACCAGTGGTGTAAAAAATGTATTGGCGGACAAAAAGAGGTGATCGCTAATTATGGACCTTTGTGTAGGCTCCCTTGTTATCGTTGTTCGAAAGGCCCTTTATCTTTCAATCTCAGCGCCCACTGAACACTGCCCCCTCGATCTTCGATCCTAAAAATGCGTGAGTTAGAAATAAAAGCAAGACTATTTCCCTCAGCGTTTCTTGTCTTATTTCTTTCCCCTGCCCCCACAAGTGGCTAGTGACTACTCAGACGTGATGGGAATTTTCGGAACCTCATCTGAGAACAAGCTTCTCTTGCAAGAACTCGCCAAGTATGACACCGTCATCATTCTCGACGACTCTGGTTCGATGAGCGGTGGGAACTGGAAACAAGTTAGTCTCGTACATTATCAGTCCCAAAGTGATTCTCATCTGATACCCAATAACTAGGCAGGTAAAGCCCTCGCCAAGCTCGCTTCAGAAGCTGCAAAGCATGACGAGGACGGGATAGAGATCCAGTTCCTCAATAATCCACGTTGTTTTGGCGGTCTTCGGGTGAGTTTTCGCGAGACCTTACTCGTTGAATCCAATCGTATTGACGATCGGATCGCCAGACACCCGAGCAGATTAAGAATGTTTTCAAGGAGGTACAACCCTCAGCGACAACGCCACTTGGGGGGAAACTACGGAATGTATTGACACGATACATTGCGAAATACGAAGAGCAGAAGGACCAGAGCAAACCAGTGAACTTCATCGTCATAACAGATGGTGCACCAAGTGAGTCTCCCTCTGAGGTTTAAAATAAAATGCGGAGCTGAATGACGGTTCCGTCTAGACGATGAAGGTCCAGAGGACCAGGCTGCAGTGGTTCTAGTCGAGTTTGCTCGGAGATTGGACGATATGAATGCTCGGTTAACGCAAGTCGGGATCCAGTTCATTCAAATTGGGAGTGATACAGGAGCAGCCGAGTTTTTGAGGACTTTGGATGATGACTTGAAACATAGATATGGGATTCGGGTATGTGTTCCCGTCTTTTTCGCACCGGTTCTGTCTAACTTGAAGTCCCTCGCGTAGGATATGGTCGATACCACGTTATCAGAGCCGGGAGAGTCGTTAGATGTCGTCAAGGCTCTTTTGGGAGCGATTAACAGGAGAATAGACAACAATGTTTCGGTACCAAAACCAACCCTTGGTGAGAGGATACGAGAGAAGTTTATGACTTGATACCAGATACCCAGTACTAGATACCCTAGATAATTTATGACTATGTATAATTTCACTCCCTGACTGCTCATTACGGGATTCGTGCGAATTGAGGGTCGGCCATTGCGGCCATCTTGCCTTCCTTCTACCATCATGTCTTCCAACCAACCTCCAGAGTCACCCTCGAGCTTGTTCGACGATCATAGCGGTTCGATGAATCTGAAGGCCAAGGTCAAACAAAAGGGTTAGTATGGATATTTGAAGAATCGATATTCCTTGAAAAGACATCGACAAGCACTCAAGTACTCACGTCTCACGGTGGATATTAATGGGCATTCACTTGGGTGGACAAAAGTTTAGCAGAGACGCTTGGGTATCGTTGTCGACGGTGAAGTTGCACTCAGGGTTGCTGTGAGGCTGCTGTCAATAGCAGCGCCAAGATCATTCCACGCGCTTCGGGGCCATCAACGTCGTCAACTCTGTTGCTCTCGCACACCCACCTGCAATTACTCTGAGCTTTATCATTGCTCTCGAATACCATGATTGCGTTGTGTATATGTTAGTAGGTGAGTTCAACAAGACAGTAGTTCTCTCGGAAAAACTACACTTGTGTTTGAGTCTTCGGGCACCCACGCCTCGGTTGTTGTTGCACCACAATGCCGTCAAAACGAGTTACGAGACCATGTGTTCAGTGACGCGCCGTCGGTCAAGAATTCGAAGAAAGCATGCGAATCATGCCTATCATACTTACCAAGGTATAAGAACCCTGAGCAACCTGGTTACCACCCCAGGATCTCTACCCAACTTTCTACGGTCCTTCTAACCGCCAATCCTTCCAAACAATGCCTTCCTTTTCCAACATTCTTTCTTTCGTTTTGATCGCAATCTCTTGCGCTTCTCTCTCCGAGGCAGCTCCATCACCACCTACAGCAAAGCACTCGACACACCGGAGAAGGACTGTAGGACGTCGAGGAGCTGAAATCGAGAGTTTCTATCCGGAGACCACGTTCAAGGTGAGTAGTGTATCGCGCGATGTTCCCGGAGCACTTGACTCAATCTTGGCCAGACTTTCGGTGTCGGCGACGAAAACGCGTCAACTGTTTCTTCTCTGCTCGGTGCTACACTGGAAGACACCACACTTTCAGCCTTGACATCCTTTTTGAATAATGGGATGAACTTGTCCGAGCTTTCCTTCACGGCTGGGCATTCTTCCGGGAACTCTAATTTCGGATACATCCGCCAACAATACGTTAGTCGTCGAGAGGGGTAGAGAATCACTGAACTGACAACTCTATAGGATGGTATTCCTATTGCAAATGCTGTCGCGAATGTTGTCGTGAAGGGCGGCAAGTTGCTTTCTGTTGGATCATCGTTTGTCGACACAAGTGAGTGCGCAGCTGGTTGCCCTCATGCTTCTACTCACAAATCTGGTCCAGAGAACATCGCCAGCTCCAAGCCGACATTTGACCTCTCGGAAGCTATCCGAGTGGCCGAGGATTTCCTCGAGTGTACACACAACGGAGATGTTGAGCCGACCTTGGAATACCTCGCTAGGCCCGATGGATCCGTCGCCCTGGCACACGTTATTCAGGTTAGGAATGAAGAAGACCATACCTGGTATGAAGCCTTCGTCGATGCCCACGATGGGAAAACCCTCCATATCAACGACTTCGTCGCTCATGCAACGGTGAGGATTCCGTGTATCATTCGCTCCTTTCTGTACTCACAGTCTGTACACCAGTATAACGCCATTCCCATGGGACAGTTCAGCGTGGAAAGTGGCTATAAACTTGTAGTTAATCCTGAAGATAGTGCGGTCTCACCCCTGGGATGGCATAACGATGGCAGTGGCCAGACCAACATGACTTCGTCAGTTTTTCCCTCTCGTCACTACAGCCTGGCTTGCTGATATGGAAACATCTAGAGGAAACAACGTCCTCTCCTTCAAGGGCACCCGAGCAGCCACCACCACCCAGTCGTCCGAAGGACCCACCTTCGATTACCCATACGACACCAGCCTCGAGCCTTCAGACCCAAAGAACGAGGACGCCTCTCGGGTTCAAGCTTTCTATACTGCAAACATGATGCACGACATCTTCTACCGATACGGTTTCACGGAAACAACGTACAACTTCCAAAACACTAACTTTGGGAAGGGAGCCAGGGAGCACGATAGAATGCTGATGTTTGTGCAACATTCTGCGGGAACGGATAACGCAAATATTGCTGTTCCTCCCGAGTACGTTTCTCATGGTTTTACTTGTCCTTGGCCTGAGTTGGCACTGACGTGTACTTGTAACGGAACACAGCGGTCAATCACCTGAGTGTCATATGTACATTTTCACGGGCTCAACGGTACTTTCTGGACGCTTCATTCTGCGAGGCTGTTGAGTTTATGATGTTTCTTTCTTACAGCCCAGACGTGATGGTGTCTTCGAACTGGGCATCCCGATCCACGAAATCACCCACGGCTTGACCGTCCGTATGACTGGAGGAGGAACCGCTCGATGCCTACAGACAGTCGAGTCCGGAGGACTAGGTGAAGGGTGGTCTGATGCTCTCGCCGAGTACGTTTACACCCCTTCAATCCATGGAAGTCGTACGAGACTGAGCTGAATATTTCCTTGATTCAGCTGGGTACAACAAACACCAGAGATGAAGGACTTTGTCACTGGTTCATACGTCTTGCCCAATAGACCGGGAGGAATACGTCAATATCCCTATTCGACGTCCGCTGAAGTCAACCCATTGAGATATTCTAGCATTCCTGCGCAGAATGGACTTGTACACGGTGAGCCCGTCTACCGATTGGCGAAACCTTCACCGGCTGACTCGGATGCGATTGAACGACAGATATTGGCACGGTATTGATTCTCTCTTCGTTTTTTTCACTGATCATTTACTCACTATCCATTCCTGTCTTTCGTTCACTCCACTCATCAGATCTGGTGAGCCCTTCTCACTCATACACGTCCCTCGCGAGCCAGCCACTCATTCGTTTCCCTCTCATTCAGGGCCAACATTCTCCATAACGTCCTCGCCTCCCTCGTCTCATCGAAAGGCTTCTCAAGCGCCGCTTATACCAACCCTGACGGCTCAGAAGGCAATGTCGTCTTCCTCCGTCTCTTGGTCGATGCTCTCGCCATCCAACCATGTAACCCCACATTCATCCAAGCTCGTGATGCTTGGATTCAAGCAGATGCGAATAGGTATGATGGAGAGCACAAGTGTGCGCTGTGGAAGGCATTTGCTAGTCGTGGGCTGGGTGTGGATGCGAAGCCGGCGTCGGAGAATTATCAGGATGGAGAAGGAGTTCCAAACGAGTGTCAGTAAATTGAAATCATGAGTCTCTGAACACTTTCCATACTTGCTAGCTATTGAAGTGCTGTGTAAAAGATTCGAATTCGACACCTGCTTGCTTGCATTCAGTGTTTCCGTGCGGGATGAAACCAAGTTATATTTACCGAATTTAGGGACTTAACAAAGCATTAATGGGGTAGTGGTAACCTGGGTCGTTGCCATTCGAGTTCACTCGACCCGCCGGGGGTTCGATTCCCTCTTAATGCATCAGGTCCAAAGAGAGATATTTTTGCGGCTATCCTCGTGGTATTAGAAAACAGTGTCCTTTTGTAAATGGTAGATGTGAACACATGGTCGCCCGCTGGCAGAAGGGTCACAGTGGATCTACGAGGTACCGGACCAAGTTCAGTGTTGTAAAAATATCCAAGAAAGCGCCAAACACGAAGAGTAGAGGAGCATAATACATGAAATATTTGGAAGGAGTGGCAATATGAGTATTGAAGGATTGCACAGCGTAGAACCAGGGGGAGAACATACAGAATTGGAGTACACGAGACCAGGAACGACCAGGAAAGACAAGAGCAAAAAAAGCTGAACGAAGTGGGAAGGTGCGGGGAGATAATATACAGATTAACAATAAGTACTAACATGGACGAGTCCCATTCCTTCGAGGAGATTCCGACGACTTGTGATTTCGGAAGCAACGAGAGGATTCAGAGTTCGGTGACGATTTCCCACATTCCCCGCTTCGCCCTCTTCAATCCAAGCCACCTGGAAAAAGTACGATTGTCAGTACCCTAGCACTACCAGGCATAGAGGCTGGCACACTAACCTGAACGCTCTCATGTCAGCCGTTCCGTCACCTCCTGCGCCTACATATGCACCGACGGACAACCAATCCACCCTCCGAACGCCTCTCTGAAGCTCGGTCTGCTCAGCCCTGGCCCCTTCAGCCATCGCAATGTCTTCCTGCCTACTCTCCGCCATGATTTGCGCGTACCTAACTTGATTTGCAAGCTGTCCACGTAACCTCCAGCTCATACTAACTTGCTCCCTGGCCGTCCTCTTCATCTTCCTCCCCAACCCCATATTGGTGCCAAGAAGCGGCGTCGAGCCCGGTAAATTTCCAGCCGAAGGTGGTGGTGGACTCGCATCGACATGATCACCCATCTCCCCAGACCAGTATTCTTCCGCCCGAACTTGACTTTCGCCTCCCCAGCCTTCACCTCCAGTGAGGCCGTTGTATAAACCGATGATGACATCCCAGATTGTGACGAACGACCCTCCACCCCCTTGTGCGCCGTATCTGCCACCCATACCCGCAAAGATATCGATATACCAAGGTAGGCGTCTGTGGAATAGCCGCATTTGTGGGGCAGGTGGGTGTGTGGCGAATTGCATGAGATCTACGGGGTTCGGTATTGGATCAGGGTTGCGGGGAAGAGTGAGGAAATGGATGTTTGGGAGGAAGTGTGTGAGGCCCTGAGAGAGCGAAGGAGATATACGCAGGTCGAGGGATACAGGCGGGGGCTCAGAGGACTGCGAGGAGTAAGGCGAGAATGCATAATTTCCGGATGGTGGCGTGAAGTGGAGGTGAGGGTGTAAATTTCGTTTGACAGGGTCGTTGATTTCTGCCAAGGATCGAACTGGTTAGGTAAAGGGTAGTCGGGTGTGTATCAGAGAATTACCTTTAACCTCGCTGGCTCTCCGTGATCCGCCGAACCAGCCTTTCCCAAGTCCGCTCCCACCACTGCGGATGGAGTAACCCTCACGCCAGGTACTCGGCCGGAACGGCAAGTCCTCCTCTCGTGGCCCTCCAACCCCATTCCTATTCTTGTACTGTTCGTAGGTGACATGATGGCCGCTAAACAGAGAGTTGCGGTGAGCGGAAAGAGATCTGGAGCGCTTCTTATGCTTCTTGTGAACGTGGATCTTCTCTTGGAGGGGGCTATGGTGACCGTGGCCGTGACCGTGGCCGTGGCCATAGCCATTAAGCGACAAACCATTCATTGCACCCGCGAGTTCCCAATCATTCCCAAGTTCATGGCCTCGGTGGAAATCCTCCTCGTTCGCATCATCCCAGCCATAGTTGGCCATGGTTTCCCGCTGCCGTTGCTTTGTACGGTCCTTTCGCTGGCGCTTCTCTTCGGAATCCATGGCACGTAAACGTTGGAGGTGAACATCATCGACCTGATCGTCGATATGTTTTTCTCCCCACCCCCAGTTGCCGCCCTCCCCCCAGCTTGACCCGCTTTCGCGGGGCCGAGACTTGGAACGGTGATGACTATGGCCATTCCTGTGGGTGTTGTGAGGGGTGCTTGCGCGCATACGTTCCTCAACACTCCTTGCGTGGAGCGCGTCTTCCTCGTCGTCGTCGTCAGTAGCCCAAGGGCGATTGCTTTGACCCCATTGAGGAATCGAATCCATATCGTTCTCCCAGGCATTTTTGGACTGGTGGGCAGGGGGACCCCTGGATTTCGAACGTTCCGCCTTGTGGAACCAACTGTCTCCTACACCCCCGCCCCCACTGCCACTACGTCCGATATGAGAGTTTACATGTTCCCAGTCTTCGTCCTCGCCTTCGTCCTCTTCTAGGGTACCCCACCCATGACCCTGCGGCTGTCGATGGAGCGCCCAGTCTCTTGTCTCTCTTCCTGCTTCCCTTCCTGCCCAAGTATCTCTACGCTCCCTTCTCCCTCTTCCTTGATCATTGTCCCGATGAACTGCCCAAGGATCGTCGTCCAGGTCATGACCCCAGCCGGGTTTACCAGAGACATCCCAATGACCACCCCCATCACCCCACCCGTTACTATCTCGCGCGCGGCCCCTAGTTTCTTTCATTCTATCCGGATACACATTCCTTTTAGCGTCATACCAGCTTTCTGTATTCTGTCTCCGGTCAGGAGGGCGCCATGCCGTACTCGAAAAGCCAGTCGGAACATTTTCGTTTCGCGGTGCGCTCGGAGGCCCCCAAGGGTCAGCAGGAGCAGTCATCGGTGTGGGATGCGGAAAATGTGGTGAAGGTGCGTATTGCCCGTAGGTCCATGATCTTTGGCCTTGAGGCGGGAGGTTTGCAGGATATGTCGGTGCTGTGTGAGCACTACAAATAGCGTAAATGATCAGCAACCGCTATACCATACATAGGCCACGCTCGATCTACTTACCCGCTTTGTCCTGGAAAACCATTGTAAACCGGTGCTCCTGGACCAGAAGCGCCCAACGGCGGTGGGATTCTCGACGTTGGGCCTGAGATTGGCATGCCACCCCGGGTCAGCTCGATCCCTGGAGGCATATCCTCAAGAGCGGCGTCGCGTGTCGGTTGAGACCATCCTGGAAATGCATGCGACATGTTTCCTCGTGTAGAACAGCTTCGTCGTCGCTGATTGTTGTTGATAACTGCTCACGGTGAGCAGAGAAGTAGTTGTGGAGCCTGTGAGAGTCCCCGGAAACCTTCTCAGACCTTGTTGAGGTTCTCGCCTTTGTCTTTGCTGCTTTGTGCTTTCCGTGATGGGGCTCGGTTATTGTTCGACTCTTTGGAGCACAGAACAAAAGGTGTACAGATGGGGGAATGGGGAGGAGATGGAAGTAGGAAGGCAAGCTGGCAATGTGATGTCGACTGTAATCAATTCACAGTGACCGATCACAAGATAGATGGTTAGGCGATCGAATTATCTTATCTTATCTTCTCAGGTCCCAAAGGTGTTGAAGCCCGAAGTTTTACTTTTAACATTCGACCATCTTCTGAATCGATTTGCAGTTCTGAGGCTACTGAGAAGCCGCACCCATATACGAGAAGGAGTGCGAGAGTTCGAACAGCTCGGTTTGAGCTTTGCTGTGTCCAAAACGCACCCTAGATCAACTTGCCTCATGACTCAGTCTCAATACAAGATGAATGATACGAAAGATCGTGCCTACTGTACTTGGGGTGCAAAGAACTAGAAGATGGAGCATATACCCGTGTCTTTCTCTCGTCCTCGAGGCTGAAAACGTGTTGGACGCATATGTTAACTAGAAATGCAAAACCTGCGGTAGTACTACACGACAACCTCAGAAGGTAACCAGTCCAGATCAAAGCGTGCATCGCAGAAGCTGCGCATTTGCTGTGAGAGTTGGATCAAAGCTGTGTCTGTATTGAAATGAGCACAGCGTTTTCCACGAGTTAGACAATAGCGTGTAGATTACACGCCCATCGTAGACCGTCAATTCGCGGAAGAAAGAGATTGGGGACATCAAAAAGCCTATACTTCCGGAGGAGGGTACTTTGACAATGTACATTCACATACACTGCGTCTAGAACATAGATGAAAGAACTGGTAACGCTATTGACTCCCACAAAAATAGTCAGCCAAAGACCATGCGAGATTAGGCGAGGATCTACGCGCTTTTCGTTCAACCAGGCCATTGAACTGCGACAGATCTCCCTTCGAACCTCACCGGTGGATAGAGCATTCCCTGGAGTAAATATCGATTCAAAGGAGGCCCAGAGCCCGCAATAAACGCAGCAAGAGGATTCACCTATCAAATAACGAGAGACTTCGAAGCCTACACCCGTCTCCGACACATCTTCAGAATCAGGAGACAAAGACCACGACGAATCAACGTCGACTTCGTAGTTGAGGAATTTGAGACCCCCAGATTTTGCCTGTGAACAGGCAAATCAGGCTTTCCACGTAAGATCTTCCTTCCTGTTCAACAAGTTAGAAAAGACTCGGTCGTATGATGACGATGAGACGAGTAGAGCAAACCTGTAATCACACTGTGAGTAAGCACAGAGCTGTACAGGGTATACGAGCCCGAGAACATGTGAAACGCGCACTCATCGTGGGCGGTGGCCGGTGTAGTCCGAGGAAAGGCTCGGAGGAATATTGGGGGACAATGACATCGAATAGCCTTGGCTGCAGGCCGTGGACCCTTTGAAAGCGCGTAAGACTTATGCATATTGCAGCCTATGAGCCATACTATTGGGATCATATCGCTGAATGACACTCAAAGGGACTAAGAAGGGATCAAAACCGTTAAAGACCACGCGAAAACTGACCTATACTTGGAGCCACTTTCGTTAGTTTATGCCACCAGGCTGAAGGGCAATATTCTTTTCACCAGCCTTTTCAAATCAATCCCAACAGGACATACCACTTACCATAGTTTGTAGCAAGCGAGTACCCCATTCTATGCACCTCCGTGAGCGTCGCGGCTTCCCGCAGGCTTTCCGTTGGGACCTGGTCACTGATTTAGGTGGTGGCGTTCGGAGGTTCTGACGAGTCGAG